TACATCTGCATCTTCACAACATATCACATGTGCAGGAGAAAACAGACCATGAGGTATATCTGCATCTTCACACCATATCACATGTGCAGGAGAAAGCCATTTCACCAAGACATCTTTACTTCTACAGACGCATCAGACACAGCAGTGAGGGTCCGTGCCTGGTCAGGCAGAAGCTCACATATTTAGACTCCCTAATAATAGACTAAATCATTTGTTTTCCCCTTATTCACAGAATTCAATTTCGTCTCCAAAATAGAGACGAAGTGAGACCTCGTGCCTCACTCTCCTCTCTGCTGACCGGCGTGCCGCCTCCGTTGCGGCGTGATGGAAATCCAGGAGACCGATCCTGGATCAGGGTTGTTTTGCTTCTCAGAGACACCGCAGAGGGCCGTCTGTACCGAGTTCTGTAAACAACTTCAGACAACGGTGGATACTGAGGAAAGAGTGTGTGGACCCCTCAGCTCATGACATCAGCAGAAGTTAACTGGAGTCAGCAAACAGTCAGTGAAACAAGTTTGGAGGTGTGGATAATAAAAAACAAACAGACATTTTGTCTGTTTTAGTTTAACAAGAAGCATCTGCTGATGTGAAATATTCACATCAAGCTTTAGGAGGAAAATGATCTGAATGAGTTGAACTCCCAAAATCCTCCCTTATGTCAGCTGCACCTGAGGTAAAACACAAATACTGTTAAAGTTAGACCAACACTGTTTACCAAGCTGTTGAACCAGAAAATTGTATTTATGAATAAATCATGATGGATTGCTGGTTTAAGAACAAGCTGAGGCTAAACTGAATGGCTAGCTTGAATTTGTATTTAAACAGTTTAAGTATGAGGAGTTGGTAATGAAAAACAGGATGAAGATTGTGTACCACTTTACAGAGCCAGGTTCTTCCTCAAAAAACAAAACCAATTTGAATGTATTGATTTAGGCCAAACTTCACAGTGTAAAGCAACATGTTCTATTAGGAGAGGGACATGCAGCAAAGTGCAGCTATAGCAAGGCCTGTCATTCATTTAGATGCAACACACAGGACTTTGCTCATATATGTCCATGTTAATTAACACACACTATGCAACCATTGATTATAATATGACACACAGCTATTTAACTGCTGTAAATACACTGTAATAGAATTCATATCACATTTTATACTGATTATTAAAATCAGGTTGAGATATTGAAAGTGTGGGTGTTTTGGGAATTCTGGCAAATGAGCCCCTCAAATTCATATACATCACATAAAGACACTGAAATGCTGCCATCTTGAGGTTATGTCTGTTATATACCGTTTGTTTTCTTGTGCTGCACTTACTATATGAATTATTATAATTATTATTGAAGAAAGTATGAATATATTTGTGTATTTAAAAAATAGAGGGTTAATGTAACTGCCAGTCACAGTGGATAAAGACCCCCCTACCCACTGAGGTGCAAGGGCTTTATCCAACCTATAGAGCTTAACAGGGGATTTAACAACCTACTGAGTTCCATAACAGCCACAAAATTAAGTGAAGTTGTGTGCTTTTGAACTGAATTTATATTGAAGCCGACAGGTTTGAGTTGTACCCCTCACATGTGGAGATATCAGGACAAATCATCCGAAATCTGTGTGACATTTACTTTGTCTGAGACCCAGACAGGTACAGTTGCAATGATCTCAGGAGGTCTGAGGCCCAGGCTGAGGAGGTGGAGGCCATGCAGCTTGTGATGCTGTGAGAGAAGTAGACAGTAAACAAAACCATCCATAGAAGAGCCCCTGACAGTTTTGATTATCCCTGTAATTACAGGCTGCTTTCATCACTTCACAGAGCAGAGCACAGAGGCATCATTTGGACGCCACACATTACCTCAGCCCTGGCAGACAGCGCCCGGCATCCATCACAATCCAACAATTAGCACTGAGAGGAGAAAGGGAAAAAATGCACATTAAAAATGAAGTGAATATCGGTGACCACCCAGGAGTCCAAATACAGTGAGTCACCCTCTAACAAGTGCTCACTGTACCAACATGACCCCCCCTGTGCCAGAGAATGTTGTGCTTGTCCACTTGCATTTGTTAAGTGCCTATTAAAGTCCCCATGAAGGCAGCCGGCGGGCCCACCTACCTCGACCGTCCCGGTGGAATCCATTCTCGCACTGCACTCATGTGGAAATAAGCCTGTTTACCACCAACGGGTCACACATGCTAATGAGCGTCTGTTTGTTTTCTACTGTGCTCATGCAGGAGGAAGGGAATTTAGTGGGGAAATAATAGATGATATGCAGACAACAGCACAGTGGCTTTGCAGCACTAATGATGAAAAACATACAACAGAGAATTAATGGATATGAAATCAGAGCAGGAAATGTGCTCTGACATTGTGATGCAGCTGAAGGCTGATCACGCAGAAATACAGAATGGTGTCTGGCCCAGATTGAACGTACCCTTGTTGTGGGTCAATGATCTGCTGATAGAGTGCTGATCTGCTGATCTGCTGATAGGGTTTGTATGATAACCCTCTGTCTTACATGACACTTGTGATGCTGTGTAGCATTAGATACACTCCATAAACTGTAGACGCTGTATTCAGTCTTTATATTCACTTTTCTCCCACACTGACATGTATGTTAAAATATTAGTTAGGTAAGATGAGATGAGATGAGATGAGATGAGACAAGATTAGATAAGATAAGATAAGATAAGATAAGATATGATAAGATAAGATAAGATATGATAAGATGAGATGAGATGAGATGAGATGAGATAAGATAAGATAAGATAAGATATGATGAGATGAGATGAGATGAGATGAGATGAGATAAGATAAGATAAGATAAGATAAGATAAGATATGATAAGATGAGATGAGATGTGATGAGATGAGATGAGATGAGATGAGATGAGATGGGATGAGATGAGATAAGATGAGATGAGACAAGATAAGATAAGATAAGATAAGATATGATAAGATAAGATGAGATGTGATGAGATGAGATGAGATGAGATGAGATGAGACAAGATAAGATATGATAAGATAAGATGAGATNAGATGAGATGAGATGAGACAAGATAAGATATGATAAGATAAGATGAGATGTGATGAGATGAGATGAGATGAGATGAGATGAGACAAGATAAGATAAGATAAGATAAAACCAAAGGTGAACATGTGAAATTATAAAATTATTTGAAAAAATAAAATACAGAGCATATGAACTCACTATACATCTTTCACTACAGATGCAATATTATATGTACAGCAAAGTACCTGAGTGCAGTTGCACAGCATGATTGCACGGATCTTCACTTTGAGAACCAGCAAACGATGTATCTTGATACCTCTAGGTTACAAATGTGATATGTCGTATTATAGCTACAATCATCACTACCACACACACAAAATATGAGGCCTTGCATGGTATATTTCTAGTGTAAGACTTTGAAATATATCATGAGGTGAACTCTTTTAAGTCACTTGTATATGTGTATAATTTGTCTCAAAATATGGCCACACATCTATCTTAGTTTCAGTGATGAACAAATAATATATTTTTACTCATACACACAAATCATTTTTTCATTCTTGTCCATACTGGGCCCATCATTTCAACATTCACAGAGGAAAGAGTCCGTGAACCCTTCAGCTAATGACAAAGACAAAAGTTAACTGGAGTCATGGAGTCAGCAAACAGTCAGTGAAACAAGTTTGGAGGTGTGGATACTAAAAAACAGACACTTTGAGTTTAACAAGAAGCATCTGCTGATGTAAAATATGTCCATCAAGCTTTAGAAAGAGTTCCACAATGATCTTGATGAGAGCAGCACCTGAGGTAAAACGCAAACACTGTTCAAATCGGTTCAATTTAGACCAGCACCCAGAAAATTCTATTTAAAAAGAAATCATGATGGATTGCTGGTTTACGAA